AAAACCGTTTAAAAATTTTCATCATGTTTATTTTGTCCTCAGCAAAATACGAATCATCTTCAGCTGAAGCAAAAAAGAGAGAAAATGTACCTTGATAAAAATGTATGATATTGTCTTAAGATAGATTGAAGCCTGAAGCAGTTTCAGAAATGCAAGAAAACTTCATAATTGCTATTGATCCATTTGTAACAAGTGTATCTTGTGGCCACCAGATTTTTCTTCCTATATGAGGTTTGTCAATATAGTCATTCCATTGAGGGAGGAACATAGGCCAAGCAATTAACATTTTTTGGGGGGATTGCTTTGGTAATTAGACCAATTTTTCACTGGTAGGTTATTAATTATTCAGGTCTCATGGGGTTTTTAAAATAGGAAACATTGGCAAGTTCTTTCTGCACTCATGAACAAACTTCGCCTGAGTCATCAGCCAGTGGAGTCAGTCAAATACTCTTTTGCTCAGGAAAAAGTAATGAGAAAAAAGGCTTTTTACAGGTAATATTTCCTGGATGTTACATTCATTCTGGCCAGTGCAAAGGATAAGCTCTTCTTTTAGAGCTGCTGGGGCTGGCAATGCAATGACACACATTTTACAGGGAAACAGCTGAAGTAGAGAGAGATGAAGGACCAGATTTGTCCAAGGTTTCTAACTGCTCTTGAGGCTAATGAGAGTCTCAGAAGGGCCCTCGTAATGGGAAGCATCAAGTTGCTGTTGTTCCCATGCTGAAATCTAGCAGAAGAGGGTCATCAAACCTTTCTGTGTGCTTTTGACATTGCAGTGAGATGATTACAGCAGCTCATCCTGGAAGATGTAGCACTAAGGGTCTTTTTTCCAAGAGGCTCTCTTGACTGACAAAGCTGTGTTCAGAGGTGTTCCTTGTTTACCCACCCTCCGTGCTGTGTCTGTGTTCCTGCCTCCTGCTTTCATCACACAGCTTTCACAGACTCCTTCATGTCAAAATGATCTATCTTGACAACAGTGGAAAATGGACAGATGAACCAGTAAAACTCAAAATCAACCCAAAAGAACTGTGCTGTACAGCTAGACAGCAGTAGTTTGTGGAAGAGGATCTTGGGATCATTGAGGCTGGAAGGCAGCTCTGGAAATTACCTTGTTCAAGCTCCTTTCACTCAGCAGTTTCAGCTAGAGGAATTTTCTCAGTGCCATATCCAGTCAGGTTTGAATACCTTAAAGAATTGAGGCTCCACAACTGTGCTGTGCAGCCAGTTCTCACATTCAACTCCCTTTGCAATTAATTCTTGGGTTTGGGGGAATTTCTTGTGTTTCATTTTGTGCCTGTTGCCTCTTTACTGGCCACCACTGAGGTTTATCAGTCACTAGCCACTTCTATTCTTCCCTGACAAGTATTTGTACTCTTGGCTTTCTCAGCCTCACCTCAAATGTAGGTGAGCAGTAATGATATTTGAGTCTGGCTTCACTGCCAAGAGTAAGCTTAGGAAAAGTCTAAGGATATCTGATAACAGGAGTTTTCTGTTCAAGCCTCGCTGTTAGCTTTTGACCTTTGATATCTCTAGGTAGAAAGACTAAGAGTGGACTCGCTGGGCCTTCTGGTCTTCAAATCCTCCAAAGGAGAAGTTTTCCTCTCTGTGAAGTTGGTTGAGGTACACTCCATGCTTTATGTGGCTTCCTCTGCCCATCCTCCCACAGTTAATGATACCTCTCCACTCTCTTGGCAAGAATGGCTGGGTTGACCCATCTGTCTCACTTAAATAATTTGGGATTGGTTGGGTGTGATTCAGAATTTCAGCTTATTTCAAACGAGGCAGGTTAACCTGCAATCTGTGGTCTCTCAGAGTATACTGAAAAACAACTTTTTAAATTTCAAGTAAACAATATAAATACAAATTCAACCACCAGTAATAAGTAAACAAAACCTACAGATGCATTTGCTCTGGTAATTGTTCCGTGTATAGGAGGGGCATTTAAATGGCTTTCTATTAAGGAATATGTTATCTGTAAAAAGACATCTAAAATGAAAACAAAGTTAAAAAAATATCATGGGCAAATGTTTTGTTTCATGGAACAGACGGGCCAGTTAGTCACCTGATTTTGTATTCTAACCCCCTGCATGATGAGCTTCTCCCACTAATTCCTGCACACAAGTCTCTTGTCATGTGGCTGGATACCCAGGGAGTCACAGCCCATTGCCTAATCCTGCGTCCATTTGCCTGAGGATAACAAATTGTCTGCTGTGGTCCCATGGTGGTCCTTGACAGAGTGCTCTCCAAGCAGGATCAGTAGCCACCAGCTGCTCCCTCCTGTTGGTTCTGTTCTGGCTATCCTGGCTCCTGCTCAGCTCATACCAGTGCACTTAATCAAATTGCCACCTGCCAATTCTCTGTTTCTGGGCTGTACAAGCCAACAAGAGACAGCCAGGTTCAATCCCAGTCCTGCTGCAGCTGATGGCAAAGCTACCATCAGCCTCAGGGAGATGACCTATTCCCTCAGTATTCCATGAGGGGCTATACAGAGATCCCTGTCTGTAAGGGCCTGGAGAAGCAGCACCCTGTGCCACAAGGAAACTCAGGTTGGACTCTCAGAAGCCTTGAAGGATGAAAATGACTGGATTTTAATGCTATTGAATTAAATGAAATATGTAGATAAGGACTTTGGGTGAAATCCACTTCCTTGTACAAGTGCCAGGCTTGAAAAGCATTCAGGGCACACACTCCTTACTGAAGCTGGGGGGATTCTGGTACCATAAATATCTGTATGGACCAAGGCCACTGCTAACAATCTTGTGCAGAATAAAATAGGCTTGGTGTCTGTGGGCAGGTTGGATATAAAGTACCTACTGCTATGACCATGAATAGCCACAGACCAATGTGCTTTGCTCTGAGAGCTCTGTTCCCAAGTCCAGGTGCCACTCTCTAAGCTCTTCAGAAGGTGTTCAGTTTTGTCTTAAAAGCAGCTAAACTCATTCTGCTCTGCTGTTCCCACAGGCAGACGGTTTCAGATCCTAATTGCTGTAGTGATTAGGAAACCTCTTTTAATTTCCAACCTAAATGTATTCATGGCCAATTTCTATTCATTTGTTCTGGTGCCAGTATTGGCCATTAAACCAAATAATTCTTTTTCTTCTGGTGTTTATCCTCAAGATAGATTTGAAGAGAGCAATCTTCCCCCTTTCACCAGCTATTTTGCTAGTCTAAACAAGCTAAGCCCCTTCAGTCTCCTCTTGTAAAACTGATTCTTCATCCTGAGTGATCTCCCATCTCCAATTTGAAGTCAGCTTGTAGTCACACAGGCAGAAAAAGAGAAATCTTTTCTATCTTTAGTGGTTATATCTTAAGTAAGTGCATTTACTGTATGGATGAATTGGCCAAGCATTACCATTCACCTCATGTATCCAGTTCTTCATATTTGTCTGTGCAGAAGATAGCTGAATAATCTGGTTCCATCATTAGAAAGATTTGTGAAGGACACCAGCTGTATGTCCTGCTGTAGTAAAGCTGCTGTATTTCATTTGTGTTGGACTATGGATAATGTTGAGATTTTACTCTAGGCTGTTTTTTCTCACATGGTGTTCTTGATCTCTCCCTCCTGTCTCCTCTCCTATTTTTTTTGGCAGGGGGAAACCCTTAAGAGGGTAGTCCATGGGGTGGTGTGTAAGAGCAAGCCCTGCGTTCTTCCTGAGTTTTCTTCCTGTCTGCTAGCACAGTTGTGTTCAGCTGGAGAATCATACTGAGTATTTCCAGCTGCTCAGACATCTCTTTGCTTTTCAGAAGTCTGAATTTCCTCTTCACTGGCACAGATTTAAATGTCTTTCATTAGGCCTTGGTCTTCCTCACACAAAATATCAGCAGTACATTCAGTTTTCATGATGAAGAGCAATCCTACTGGGAGAACATCCGTGAACTTCTGAGCTAAAACTGGTAAGCTTTGAGGGTTTTGCTCACTGGTGCTGGCAAGACTCTGGAACAGTTCCCTGCAGGTCTAATTATTTTTACTAGACAAACTCCCATTGCAATGAATGTCAAGTTTGGACTGTACCACGATTTCAGTGGACTTCATGTTGCAAGACTGCCATATTGGAATAACATAACATGCCATGAGCAGGGACTGCCCTGGGAGAGGAACATGCTTGCTGGTGTGTCCCATGGAAGCAGGGCTATGATCTAGCAATAGTTCAAGGTCACATTTCGACTCTGTATATTGTTTTAATTTGCAGCATCTTGGCAGTGCAAGCAGTCACATTTGTTAGTGTTTGAAAAGAACAAGGGAAATTAAATATGCAAGAGCATTAGAGTACGTTTCAGCATTTGACATAAAACCACAAAATTAAAGCAATCCAGACATACGCCTGCTTCTCTGCTTCTTTTCATCAATATGCCCTCAGCTTCAGCTCTGTGACACCTACCACTTTGAAGGGACAGTTCTGTGAGTTTGTGATGACTAAGAGTAATTTGAAAGTGGTACAAGAATGAACTGTGGTGACAGTCTTATGCTTTGAACCTGTTTATTCTATTTTCTTTTTTTTTTTCTTTCTAAATCCCTCATAGCATCAGAGCCATGTGTAAGACTGGCTTTATTTACAGAGCCTGACTTACAGGAGATCCATGTGTCTGTTGGGTTCAGGGTTAACATGGTATAGACTAGGAGAAAGCTTATTCTTGGTTCTGACAGTGATTTTTCATGTTTAGCCTTGAGTTCCTTCACATTTTCTTTTTTTCCTGTGCTTTTAGACCTGGAAGGAGTGTGTGGGAGTGGGGTGTCCTCAAAATACTGCCTGCCATTTGGTAGCCCATGCAACAGTTGGTATGTTTGTGTCACAAATATTGCTGTTTCCTTACATATTCCTGGACCTTGCGTATTCTTGGACCTCATCTTTGGAAAAGTTTTTTTTCTCATCCTGCCAAAATGTAGGATATAAGATGAGTTAGGGTTGTTTGTGTTATCTGAGAGCTGATACAGAAGGGAATTTCAATTTCTATGCTGCTGCTAACTTTTCATTGAAACCTCCTAAATTTCTGGGTTCACAAAGAAGTTCTTTGTGAATTTGTTCAACTCAAAATGTTTTTCACCTCAAAAACTTAGTGAAGAAGAAGAAGATGTTTAACCAGCTCTCCAATATGTTCTTCATCTTTGAGCCAGTACAAGAAAACCTCTTCATATCCCTGATACATATCCTTGGGGCTGGTGCACTCCCTCCTTGTAAATAAGTCCTGATGTGTGTTGAAGCAGCACAGTGTTCTCCTGCTGCATGTGCTACACCTGAGCTGTGGCTCAAGGAGGGCATTTGATTTTCAGAGCTCAAATCTGCTCTGTCTCACCTGCTCTCAGTGAAGGCTGGAGTATCTTTGAGCTGAGTGTTGAGAAAGAAGCAGAAGTGAAACACTGCAAGTCAGAGCTGACCACAACATCTTCTCCTGCTTTAAACTCCCAATTTAGAGAAATAGGCAGCATAGCACTCCCTTTTTTGCTGCTTGGGTCTGTCCAACCTGTTTGGATTGAAGGATCTCTGGGACTCCTGTTACTCCTGTACACAGACTGGCATCATGGGAACACAAAAATTGCTGGGTGGCCCAGACATGATGACAATAAAATATTGAATGGTGATAGTAGGGAGGTTGTTTGTTAAAGTCAGAGCCCTTAGACTACAATTTGACCCAGGCAGTAGAGATGCAGCTGGACATTACCATTCAGATACAATGTTGGTAGATCCAGCACTACATGCCCCAATTCTGATGATCAGTGAAAGATTTACAAACAGAATAACAAAACACAAGACCTTGAAGGTTGTATCAGGGGAGTGCTCTGGAGGAGTAAAAAAGTTTCTCTATGCTTTTGTTTCTGTGGACACCCTCCAGTTATTGTTATGAAGCTGAGCTTATTGGCTCAATAATTAATTCATTGATTTACAAATAAAGGGTGAAAAGCATCAGGGTGCATGGTTTTTTGTGTGAGAAAATGCTACATTATAGCTTTCAGATTATTTCGTTCTAAGTGTACAAAGTTAAGGTATTTTCACTTTGGTCTGTCAGTCAATAACTTCAATCAGCAGAGGCTGTGGAGAGGAGAAAGAGAACTGAAAGAAAACTTCCTACTGACTGATCCTCTGCTTAGGAGCTGCACTTGAAAAAGCCAAAGGAGAATAGTCTGCTTACAGACAGAGATTCTAACAGGGCTGTTGACAACCAGGATCGTGAGAAAATAGCAATGGGTTGCTTTAATCAATACAGAAGGAGAGGTAATTGATTTTAGGGATAGCAAGGAGTTACTCAGCCAATAATTAACCACCTTATCAAAGTTTTCTGGTAAAACCATGGATTATGTTCAACTCAGAGTCCTAGCTCTCTGAGGGGAGTTCAGACCTGGATTTTCCTCTTCCTCAGTGCTCTTTGCTGCTGACATGCTGCCACAGCCAGTGCCCTTTGTTCTTTTTCACAGGCAAAGGGATTCACTTCTGATACAGCATTGGCACAGAGGATCTGGGAAGAGCTGCCACGTTAGTGTGTGGTGGGAGACAGAGTCAGAGCTGCCCACGAAATGCTTTTGTTGAGTCTCTTTTACACGGAGTTTCTCTACTCCGTTAAAAGGGAGCAGGGGAATTGCAAGATCATCCAGTCTCCAGTCCTTCAGAAATATTTAAAGGGCCCTTGTTGTTAATGGTAGCCCTTCTCAAGGCACAAATATTCAGTGGTGCAATTGCGACTGAGGCAGTTGGTGAGATGAAGCAGGTGGAAATCCTGTTCCAGAGTTTGAGGACTCTGGAGTGCTCTCTTTATTCCTGTGATTAACCTTCTCTGCAGACACTTGACCATTCAGCTCAAAGTGCAAAATAATTTGTGGGATGTCCTTTCTTTATCATTTCTGCCACTGCCATTTCTGACTCATTACTGTGTCTAAACAAAGGACTGTGTTTAGAAATTATATTTTATTTCCTAAGGTAATGCGTTCATTCCATTCCACTGCTGCTCTGAATGGGATTAATCTGTACTCTACTGGGATCACAGTTTGTTTCTGCTACAGTACTGTGCAGAGCCTCAGAAAAGACCAAGACCCTTTCAGACTTTGATAAACCCAGATAATGAGAAAGTTCCTTCCCTGTTTATGGCTGGCTGAACGTTTCTGATCAGTCTTTTTTCAGCGAAATTGTTTTTGCCAAACCGAATATGTATGGGGAAAAACCTACTGAAGAGGCAGAGATGCTCTGCATTTGCAAGAAAGAAAATGTATTTAATATTGTTTTATAATAAGTGGACTCAAACAGGGCTAAATGAAACACTCAGTATCTCTTAGTAAGTCTGTGACAGAGCTAGGATTTCAATTTTGCTGCTCTAAGCCCTAATTCCAGAGTTTTAAACACAGAATCATCTTTTTCCTTCTTTATGCCTTTAAACATAGCTTGTTCCTACTATTTCCATGGACTCTGTGTAATGGGTGAGCAGCCACAAAAATGTTAATTGTATGCCTGGCTTTCCTGTTGCTGATGAATACCACTCAAGCCTTGTGCCTTGGTTTCTTTAATTATAAGATAAAGTTAATGATGCCACCTCAGTTTTGCATAATTCCGGAAGTATTACATGTTATTTCTCTTGCTGAGCACTCGGGACCAAGACCTGTGGTTGTTACTTGACACTGTTAGAATCAAAGGATTATTTGCAAGTTAATGCATTTACCTTTGTGGAGACAAGCCAGTGCCATCTGTGAAGGTCTGTAAGAGCTGTGGGTAGGTCCTGCCCTAGCACAGATTTTACATGCTTCTTCTCTTGCCTTCAGAGAAGTTCTTCTTTTGCACAGTGTTTGGCATGCACTGAAATGTCTACATGAATTGGAAGGTAAAAACAGAGGATGTGAATCCAACATTTTGTTGTGAGCCTTGCAATACTGTCTTTGAGGGTTGCACAAGAAATTGTGGACATTAACATTCAGATACCAGGAAGATATGTTTGGAATTCTAATGCTGTTGTTTATGCTCAGACAAGTCAAACTGTTCTCTGGGTATTTCAGTATAAAGCATAAAAGTTCCTAATTAAACTTATAAATCAAGAACACATGCACTGAAAATATTTTCCACTGCTGGATGCAAAGAGTATTTATGTGATTTGCCAAAGAGCAAAAGGTGCTGTATAAGATGCAAGTAGTTGCTGCAGATTGCATATTGAAATACTGAAGGCATATAAGGCAGCTGGTAAAAATAATCTTGTCCATATTGATAAGACTGGTCACAGACATGCATTTATTTTTACTTCACACACTTAGAGTGCATGGGGGTGTGTGTGTCTTTGCCTAATGTAAGGAAGAGAATTCTTTATATCTGGTCTCTCTCCTCAATTATTAGGTGTCCCTCTATTGGGAAAAAAATTGCCATTGAGCTGAAATTCAAAGTCACCATTCTCAGTCAAAAAACAGAGAAGGAATAGTCAGACTAACTTGTCTCAATGTGTATGTAATCCCCAGTTGCCTTCCTTGATTCAGATCAAAATATAGGCTGTCAAGTTTTGTTATGCTGTATTAAAACATTTTATTGGAGATCGGACTGGAATCAGTACCGTGGGGATGGGACATAAACTTGTAATTTTCTGTTGCTTTCCTGAACTTGAAAAGGAGACAGCACTGCAAACAGATCTTTGTGTTTCCTTAGAGGAACAATCCATGCACCTAGAAGGATCAGACTGATATTAAGCATTTGGTGGTTTTTTTTGTTGTTTTGTTAGTTTGTTTTAGTTTGATTTTTGTTTTCTTTTTTCTTTTTTGGTGTTTTCTTTCTTTTTGTTTGTTGTTGTTTGTTTTGTTTTGCATTTGTTTGTTTTTTATGTGTGTATAGGGGGGTGGAATTGCTGCTCTTCGTGGCTTTTTTGGTGGTTTTCTTCGTGTTGTATTTTTTTCCTAAATCAGGAGGGTGTCACTAGAGCTGCTGGTTGGTGGATCCTGTTGCTAGGAGTAAACCTGACCCTCAATAATTAGTGCTAGAGAGCTTCATTTGGCCTCCAGCTCTGTGAGGAGAAGTTAAACTGCTGTGATGCTGTTCAAAATCTATTAACCAAACAGAGTCTTAAGGAGCCTTTGGACTTCCTGACCTCATCCAATCTCTAACAAACAAATTCTCTAAGCTAATCAATGAAACAGAATAACTTTGTGGTCTTTACACCCACCCACCCCTCAGTACTTCTAATCCAAAGCCCTAGCAGGAGGGATTTCCTTATATTAACACAGAGGCTGATAACCCTCTGAGCTGTGTTTTGACCATGTTGCCAGGAATCCCTGCCCCCAGATATCATTTTTAACACCCCAGGGATATGAAGTTCTGCTAGTAGCACTGCTAGACCTGGCAAACACACCCAGCCTTGTGGAGCCTAGAAGTGCTTGACTGGCCTGGCAGTAGGTGAGGTTTCCATAATCACAGCTGCAACAACACAAAAACTCTCTGTGAACAGCACATGCCATCCTCCTGTGAATGCATAAGCAAAAGGCACATGAATTATGTGTAAATACTGATAGGTTTGAAACCCAAGAGGAGGGGTGAGTGAGTAAGTTGTATCTCTGCCATAGATGCAGACATAATGAAAAATCTCAGGTTTCTTGGGGACACACAGAAGATCCCAGTGGTCTTGGCATTACGAGGAGGCCCATCAAACAGCATTAGCAGACTAATTAAATGTGCAGCTTAAACTTAATTTTCCTGGTAGCATTAAGACGGATTAAACATTATTCATTTGGTTATGTCCTTGGCTCTCAGTATTTTTCACTCCTCTTCCCACCTTGTCACTTTGTTTCAATCAGTAATATTACTGGGTTTAGTTTAGGAAATGTGCTTGAGCAGGATTTGAAAATAGGATTTTCTAAGCAAATCTTCATAACTTACAGCACCTGGGTTCCTATTTTGCATAAGAAAAATACTTCTTCTTTTAATAAAATAGGTTAATTATGCAAAGTGTGAACATAGTGGCTAAGTGGAGAAAATTTGCTAATCTGTAAATGAGGAGGAGGATCTGTTCTATAAATTGCACTTTCTGTATTTCTCTGTTTCTTTTCCTGCCATGTGAACTTGGTGAGACTGTGTATCACACCAGTATGAAATTGTAGGGTGCCAAGTATTTAGATTAGATATAAGGAAGAAAATTGTCATTAGGTGGATGGTGAGACACTGACATAGGTTTCCTAGAGAAGCTGTGGATGCCCCATCCCTGGGAGCACTCAAGGCAAGACAGGACAGATCTGGAAGCAACCTGGTCTAGTGGAATGTGTCCCTGTCCATGAGAGGGGAGGGGTGGAACA